AAGTTACACTTTTCAATGATTGAATTTGTAGCTGAAATTTCATTAAAGAATTTGTAATTTATTGTGTTTGAATTTCAAATAAACATGTGACATTTTTAATTAAAATATCTAACAATCCCCCACTTATTTAATAAAAAATAATATAGTGTTCAATACTAAACACTTAATAGGGCAAAGATTAAAAGTTCATGCATAATAAAGGTGGCAGTGCCTTTAAACCTTCATTTAGCATTCAACAATTCCTGTACTAAAGTGAAGGTGGATTTAGCCTTTAAACGATGGCTACTTGAGGGCACGTGGAATCATATCACATACATGAACCTTTCAATGTTCTAAAACAGGTTTCATAAGCAAACACATTTATGGCCTTGTGCTTTATTCTAGTTTTCATGACAACCCTAGAGAACTAATCCAAATTCTCGTAGGAAACAACCCCACGTCCACAATTATATAGGTGAATCTATCAAGAATTCTCCCATGATTTAGACATCCTACCCATAAGGGCTACCCATAAGGACTTGAAATACTCAACCTCACTTATCGTGATTCCATCACTAATGCACTTACGCCATAGGGATAGACAATTTAATCAAAATAATGCATATTAATCAATCAAACCACTCTATGATTTGTTTGTCTCCAACCTAGTTCTTGGGATCTCCAGTCCCTAAGCAATTGTATTCTCGTAGACGATTTTTAATATATATTGGGCTTTTGTCATATCCCCTTCGATGTATATCATATCTTTGACTTTAATTTGAGATTTATCTTTTACACAAATAAAATAGCAAACATATGATGTTCTCGAATTTTTCCAAATAATCTCTCTTAGTGGGCCAAATATATTGAATCAATCTCTAGTGAGAAAATTTCTCATCTATTTATATTTGCCAAATAGTATAGGCATATATTTGTTCATATTCAACTTTTTCACTTTTTTCTCAATGGCTAGTAGTCTAGTAGCGCACTAGAAGCCCTTCTCAAAAAACTCCATGGTTATTTTTGCTTTTGCAAAAATACCAAGAAAATAATTCAAATACCTTCACATCAGGTCATACTTTTCAGTGAGTGCTAGTCTACATAACTCAAAAAAAGAGTGAAAATAAATCCAAAAAAAAAATAATGTTATACTCATAAATTGAGCAAATAAAATGATATCTCATTATTTTTTCACCACTTCCACTATCACGGTGTTTTATTTCAAAAATACATTTATCAAGAGTTGCACACGAGACATCAAAATGGTAGCAAATTTTAAAATATATTAAAATCCTTCACCTTCCAACAGAGGAGCAGTAATGCATACTATCACTTCATAATGCTCCAATTCCGACTTTTCCTTTTCATCAATACATGCCAACAAATAATAATAATTTAAGGAAGGCATTAATGTATGCAAAAAATAATTTGAGATAGTCACTTGACAAAACTATTGCTTATAGCAATTAAGAACAAATTTCATACTAGCCATAGAGATTTACTTACCCCCACTATTTATCATATTTCTATAGGATGTGATGCGATTTTGAGATACAGTCTATTATAGGATTAAAAAAGATATTTGTTCTAAGATTACTGCCACATAGAATGACTTAAGTACTCAAGGGCTTAATGCCATTATCAATCACTAGATCTATTGACAGTTATCCAAAGCTAATAATTTGTACCAGTTATCACCAACAAGCAACTATGATACTCGACTATGAAATTTTAAAACCAGAGATGTGGCATCTCAAAGGAGTGAGAAAAATTAGGTCTAGGTACAAAATATGTCAATAATCGAAATTGTAGAGAAAGACATTTTTCATAAGCTAAGATAATTGACAATTTCAAATTTTGTACAAAGTAGCATGTTTAGTTTCTCAAATTTGTTCTTATATTGCCACAATATCTAGCCTCTAACTTTTCAGGTTACTCACAAACTAATAAGCAACAAAAACTTAGCTAAGACTCACTAATGCACCTGAGTCTAAAGGAAACCACAAATCCAATGATTTTTCCTTAATCACGCTAGTCAAGATTAAGCAAAAAATTCTTTTGCAATAAGAGGCTAATTGTCTTAAAATTGTTGGTTTTAGACCAAAATAATCATATAAGTAACAATAATTTCTCTAATAAAATTTAACAAATAAATTAACAAAAATCTCATACCTCAATATTGCATTAAAAAATGCAAATAATATGTACCATAAAAAGTTAATTTGGCATGGGTTGAAACGCAGAATAAGTCACTTTCTTTAAGACGATTCGCACCCCTATGAAATATCCTTTGGTGCAGTAAGTCTAAATGTGTCGCCCCTAGAATAAAATAACCCAATCTATCTCATTAGTCTACTCCAATTTACATTATTGGAGTAAAACAGAAACTTTACATAACACTGTCTTTGCCCTATAAACTCTTATAGTAATGAGAGAAAGTAAAATAGAAGATAGTCTAGAAATAGCAAAATATGTGTAAGACTCAGTAGATAGAAACCTCCATTTATAGGCAGAGAAATTGGGAGTATTAAAATACTAATATTAAGAGAAATTAACGCCTCATATTTTCAACTACAAATTGAAAAGTTCCAGGTTCATTGTATAATGATAAAAATTCACTAAATGAATTCATAAAACTAATTATTACTTAGGTTACACAATTCAAGGCATAAATCTAAGTCTCATTTTAAAGACATATGTTACACTTTTGAATATAGTTATTAAACCCAACCTGATCTGACAGTTGAACCGATCAACCGATGGACCCACATGGAATCGGGCCGGTTTAGCAATTGGATCGGAGTTGCTCGTTTGAACCATTTGACTCGGATGGTCAAACTGGTGACCTGCTAAACTTGGCGGTTTTTTATAAACCCGATGGATTTTGGAAATTTTTTTAAAATTACCTTTTTACCTAAATTTTTAATTTGACCAACCACATTAACATGGGTATTGTTGTGTTTTTGACAATTAGATGAGAAAAATTGAAAAGGGATTTGGGAGCAGGGGTTTCTTTCTTTCTTTAACACTTAGATTTATTATTTATGTTTGTGTATAATATTAATATGAATTCATGAACTAAGGAACATACATGGGTATGGTTTGTATGTAGGAACTATGAAATATAAATAGGTTATGACTTGTTAACATTTAAGAATTTCTGTACTTATATTATTATTTATATGTTTATTTAATTATATTATATATTTTTTATTATATAATGTGACTTGACGGTTCAACCGGTGACCACTGACCTGCTAATCCGGTTCTTCTGCTGTGTTGATTTAATAACTATGCATTTGAATGATTGAACTTGTAACTGAAATTTTATTAAAGAATTTATAAATTATTGTGTTTGAATTCAAAATAAACATGTGATATTTTTTATTAAATATTACACAGTTGACTCCTCCACTTGATTCACTTGTCGACCACACAAACAACGTGAAATGTCTCCATTATCCCTCAAACCATACATTCAACAGAACAAATATCAGTTAAGGCGTTGCATTGATCTGATGAAAAAGCTAGGTACAATTTGTCCTACTAGTAGTAGTTTCCAACATTGATAGCCCCTGGTCCCTGACCACCATGACTCTTGTTTCTGCCAGCAAAGAACATTAGTACGAGTAACAAAATAGATGCAACTGTAGCACACAACCTCGTACAACAAAATCAAGCAATATGGTTAAGCATTTACATCATACCTTGCAATGTTTTAAAGTGACCATAGAATTTCTCTGTATATTACACACACACACACACATATATATATATACATATATATAAGTAAATTTTGTATACACTGACAATATATATATTATCATTGTTAGATTCATAATATGTGCAAAAATTAAATTTCAAATTTAAATTTTATAAAGTTGTCATTCATTCAATGTTAATAGTGTTTACACTATCAGCGCAAGAAAGATTTATAATATATATATATATGTATGTATGTATAGACAAACTTCCTAAAAAGATTATCATGACTTTTGTTCTTTGCTTTTGACAGTAAAAACCAAGAATTTGATTAACAATTATGGCTGCAAATAGTATGGGATAGTAAAAGCTAGAGTATATTAAATAAAACCACTTTGTGCAGATGAAATGGATAAACTAAGTGTACTTCCTTAATGAATTACCCGGATAAAACATGATCAGAACAAAAAAGCCAAAAATAGATTAGTACAAGACTTCATATCTTTCAAGTTTGAAGCAAGCAAAGACAATCGCTAAACCAGATCGACTGGAGTGAGGCCTTTCAGTTTCCGTGGGGGTGCTTTATATAGCCGCAAGTGGGATTGTTTGTAGATCAAGATGTATACTCGTTATGATATTTTGTTAATGTTTGCCAGGAATTTTGGCCATGGCTATTTGTGGAATAATTTCTTGCAAGAAATCAGCCCTAGTTTCCTCACCAATTTTGGTGCAAAAGAGACATGCGCCTTTTAAATCCCAAAGAGAGACTGAACTAAAGCTTGAAAAAAAAGATATTGGGTACATAAAAGCACCAGACGGCATTCAGGATTTGTTAAAGCTTCTTTCAAGAAAAAATAAATAGAAAAGGAAACAAAAAAAGATATTATTGAAATTTAGTTTGTATAAGATTGCAAATAATCGTGCCTTTAAGTCGGGTTAAATGATAAGGTAGGAGAATGTAGGTAGAAGGTTCTGAATTCGAAACTATTGTTTAAAAAAAAAGTAGGTTTTAAGTTTGTGTTTTCTTGGTTTAATTATGTTTTTATTGCCCCTTGTAAATTAGGGTCTAAGAAATATTATCCCCTAACATTCACCGGGCAAATAAAAAAAAAAAAAAAAGCAATCCGGACAAGTCCCTGATTCCTTCCCCACCACAAAAAAAATAAAAAAAAAAAACAAATTCTGCTGTACAGAAAAATTATACTCCTACTAAAAATAATTATTTTTTTTAAAGAAGAAAAACTAAAAAATAAAATATCCTTCCCATTTTACCCTTGGGAGTTCCTTCTCTCTCTCTCTCTCTCTTTCCCTTTCACTCTCGTTGGTTTCACCACCACCGTTCACTGCCTCCACTCTCCACTCTTTTCTCTCCCTCCACTTTCAATCCTCCAAACGACGTCGTAGCCGAAGGCGGGCCGAAACCAAAAATCCGCAAAAGAGAGAAGCCATCTTGGGTTCCATCCAACAACTCCACAATTCTGCAGATTTATCATCTATTTCTATAAATTCTCTGTAAAAAAAGAGAAAAATTTTTAATTGTTAAAAATGAGCTCCGATTCGGCTGTGCCGTCTCCCGGTTCTGTTCATGGCGGCAGCCTCGATGAGCAGATTTCTCAGCTTATGCAGTGCAAGCCCTTGTCCGAACAAGAGGTGAATATGCAAAAGTTATTTACGTATTTGTTAGAGATGCTCTTTGATCTGTTTCTTGAATTTCGGTTTTTCTTCCTTTCCTTGTGGGAGTTTACGGTACTTTTTTTGGCGAAATTAAGGAGCTTTTCGTGTACGTGGTTGAATCTGGTGATGTAGTGAAATGGGTTTGTTAAATCAGATCTATTTTGGAATTTTTTTTATTTTGTAATGGAGGAGAAGGTTGGAAAGTTTTGAACTTTTTTGGTTTTCGATTTTTTTTGGGATAACATCAGAATGCACCAGAATTATTTGCTTGTTTTCTTTCATTTATAAAACCAAAGGAATGGAATTTTTTTTGGTTTTTTTCCTTTTTTTAAAAAAATTAATTGACCCCTTATTCTTCAATGGGATTCTGGAAATTTAGCATTTGAGTTCTGTTCCTGGATAATTTAATATACAAAGAGATTTTTCGAGTTTTTTTTTCCTTTTTTTTTGGGACATGGAGTTTACGCACTTCGTAGTAAGGTTGATTGTGCTACAAATTTCGTTATGATGTAGAAATGGTCTTTCAGTAGAAACAACCATTTTATTTAGTTTATTTTAGTTTAGTTTTTTTTGGGGGGGGGGTGGTGGTGGGGTGGAGAGGGGGAGAAAATGCTGATCTTTTTACTATTCCTGTAGAAGGGGAGGGGTGGGGGGAAGAAGCTGATGGGGTATGGGGACAGTGATAATTGAAATTTTCACTTTAAGATGAGGAATAAACACTGTTAACCATTTGGAATATTCAATTCTAGACTTTTCTAGGTTGAGCAAGTTCTTTATTGTTAAATTTTGATAGAGGATTACATATCTTGTTACAGTCACTGAAACATTAGAACAAGTCTCAGAGAATATTTATAATAGGCCAGCTGTTTTGTTTGTGTTTGGGATAAGTTCATTTGCTAGATATGTTATGGGGTTAAGGGGGGAGAGCAGGATGGGATTGGGAGCATCAAATTGTAGTCAATCTTCTCTGAATTTGTGGCAACTGAAATTTAATGTGGTTGGGGCTAGTTATGAAGAATCTTAAAAAAAAGGAAGAATTACAGTTTGAGGCGATTTTCCATAGAATGAGACACAGCTTTGTATGCATATTTAGAGTGATCAGTTGCGTGTCAAGATGTAGATGTGCAATGATTTAAAGGAGGGAGGGCAAGATGAGATTGGGAGCATCAAATTATAGTCAATCTTCTCTGAGTTTGTAGGAACTGAAGTTTAATGTGGTTGAGGCTGGTTATGAAGAAACCTAAAACAAAGAAGAATTACAGTTTGAGGCGACTTTCCATAGAATGAGACATAGGTTAGTATACATATTTAAAGTGATCAATTGCATGTCAAGATGTAAATTTGGAATGATTATTATCCAAAATAGGTAAATTCTATCTGTGGTAATGCGTCATATACACATTTGAATTATTTATCTTGTTGTGTAATCCTATTGAATTTTTTGTTTTGGTGGTTGAAATATTATTTTTCAAGTGCTCTTTTCTTCCTGTATATAGGTGAGACTGCTATGTGAGAAGGCCAAGGAGATCTTAATGGATGAGAGCAATGTTCAAGTATGATTTTCTCTGATAATTTTATTAATGCTGCAATGCACAATCTTCTGGTTGCTTATGTACTTGATTTTTGTTGTCCGTGAACTATTATATTGAGGTGCATGTAAGAGGAACTGTTGGTTACGGTAGAACATTCTTCTGATGGTACATGGTTGGGAGAAAACTTGTTGTTTAACATTTAATTGTAAAAGTAATATTTTATGTAGGGGAGAAAGTTAAAGAAAATATGCTAACTTGTTTATGCATTTACATGTGGTGGATTTTTTGGTTATGTGGAGTCAAAAGGTTTCAGCTTTAATTCATGCTGCATGTTTTGATCTCCTTTAAATGATCTAATTTTTTTCAACTTAAAGCTGTTGTTTCGGTGATTTTGAGGTTTTGGAGTTGCTTTTGTGAATTATCAAACTGACAAAGCTTTGTTGTTGTCCTCCTAGAAAATTTTTTATGATATCTATGGTTCTGCTGCATAGTCTGAAATCACATTTTTTTAAATGATGTAGCTAGAAAGTTTTTTGCCCCAGAATTTGCATGAACTTGGTAATAAGTTTTTCTTCTGATAGATATAGGCTGTGTTTGTTGGTCATAGTTGGTCTCAACATCATATATAGTGAGGCAATGATCTTCAAAGCATTTTTATTGACTTAGCAGAAACTCTATGTTTAATATGCATGCAAGGAGCTTTACTATGCCTTTTGAATGGGTGTAACATGAAGCCTGACAGTTTTTATTCATTTTGGTCTTTCATTTGGTCTTGTCATATTGTTTGTTGTCTATCAAAGAATCTTCCTGGTTTATAGAATGTAATGTGATGTAAGGAGTTTCACTTTCTTTTGATGTCTGTGTAGCCTGTGAAGAGTCCTGTGACCATATGTGGTGACATTCATGGACAATTCCACGATCTTGCTGAGCTTTTCCGTATTGGTGGCAAGGTATCTGCTCAATCAATACTCTGCCTCCTCAATCAATTGGTTTCTTGAGATAACTGTGTTCAGTTGTTTCATCTCTCTGTACTTTGGGTATTAGACCAAGTTTTTATATTGGGGCAGGAAGGGTATATAATTTTTCCAAATGACCTGAATGGATTGGTCCCATCGTAGCATGATTCTCTCTCTCTCTCTGCGGTTCAAATGCTTGTCTAGTTGTTTGTCCTCCTATTGCAACATTGTTATGGTACTGGAGTCTTTCTAGGTCTTGTCAGTTATTCATGTTTTTTATATTTTGGTAACATAATCTATATCCTTGGGATTTGACTTGATTAAGCTTTTTTTCTCCTTAATATGTTTGTCAAGTTGAATCTTACTAATTAAGTTTATTTGCGTGCTTTGCAGTGTCCAGATACAAATTATTTGTTTATGGGAGATTATGTAGATCGTGGGTATTATTCAGTTGAAACTGTAACTGTGAGTTTTAAACTTTTCTTTCAATCTGTTACATATTAATGAAAATAGTTTCTTTGCTTAGCCATGTTAATCGTGATAACCAGAATATCTGCAATTGCATTACTTCTTTTTTTCTCCTCTCTCTCTTTTTGTTAGGAGACTCAAATTTATTTTAGATATTGGGCAGCTGATGGTGGCAAATTAAGTATAGGTTGGCAATCTAAATTCAGGTTTTAACTATAGCTTGTGCAATGCTATGGCTAGAGAAAAATTGATCTTGAGATGTGTAAATTGAGGCTTTGAATTGGAAAAAATGATCTTCATGTGTGTCAGTCCTGTTAGTTAAAAATTTTGAGTTGCCATTAAAAAATTTAAGCTGGGTGAATACACTGAAATAAATTCTCCTTATTCCTTGCATGAAATTGAGCATGCTGTGTGCACAACTGTGTCCCTGCAAACTTATTTTTACTCACATAGATCATCATGTTTTGGCAAGTTATTTTGTGCTTGGTTTTCGCTAGTCTTCTCAAATATGCTTCCTACTTTGTTGTAGCATGCAGAATTTGGTTTAAAATATTTGTGAGGGCAAAAATAGTTAGTGACTTTTATCTTATACTTTAGTATTTAGAACACAAAGGTATATGCCAGAATTTCCTATTCTATATGTTTCAATACTCAGTTCCTGAAACTTTTGGTGGTTTTGGTCTAATAGTTAATGTATGTCTTCTTTTTTTCTTTGTTTTTCCCCTTCTTTCTTTCTTGCCATGTTTCTTTAGTTAGTACTGCATTTTGGGTGCTGCAATGGTTGTTCTAATTTTGATTAGTCAAATTTCTTCTCAGCTTCTGGTATCCCTCAAAGTGCGTTACCCTCAACGAATTACTATTCTAAGAGGAAATCATGAGAGTCGACAGGTATATAGACTAACCTGTCTTGCTTCTCATACACTTTCTTTAGCTGTTAAACAACCCAGTTATGGCTCCCATTTCTTGTTCACTAGGATGAGTCCCCAATGTGTTGAAATTCTAACATTAAGTGGAGCTGGGTGGTAGCTACCCTTTTTTATCGTCAGAAGTTGTAATTTGAGAGATTATAGGTCTATTCTCTTCTGTATTCTGCTGGATTTATTTCATTTTGAAATTTCCCATCATGTTATGTCTTTTGGGTTTGGATGCTTTATGCTAAACTGGCTCTTTTCCCCCCATTTCCTGTCTCAGATTACTCAAGTATATGGGTTTTATGATGAATGCCTAAGGAAGTAAGTTCTTGTCTTCTTTTTCAGTTTCAGACTTTCCTTTGGAAATGCTACTCCCTTTGTCCCTTTTGGCTTTTATTGTTCATGCTTAAGTTGAAAATTTGATGCTAAGCTAATTTGGCAGGTTAAAGGTTGAGCAAAAGTTGGTAGTATAAAAGTTGAACTCAATGAACTCAGTATCATCAGTTGATTAATTATCTTGCATGTGAAGCTAATTATCTTTCATGTGAAGCTTTAGATGATAAAATCTACTTTTCATGGAATATATATATATGGGGCTTATTGCTGCTTGCTTAAGTGCATTGAATTTAGAATGGTTTTGACCTTTCTGAAGATACACCTTGCAATATGCATTGGAGTAATATTGATTTGTCTAGATGTTATTGGAACCTTTGTACAATTCAGCATTGTACCTTGGCACACTGCTTTTATGAATTTGTACACAGTTGCTGGCAAACTTCTTTTGCTTTGCCAAAAGAGGTGTCATTTGCAACTGATTTTGTTTTATAGAAATATTGCATTTGGAAGTTGGCATCCTGTTACCCCTATCCATTTCTAATTGTCAGGGGTGTCGAATTGGTGCAAAATGTGACATGAACAAAATCTTAATGTTGAAAATGATACAAGACAATTGAGGGAATTCAAGGGAAAACAGGTGTTGAAAAGTGTTTCAGATGTAGTAGCCACAATGGATTTCTTTTACTTGTCTACGTTATAGATCCCAAATTGTCTACTTGATCGTGAACTCATTGTATTTAATGTCTACGGCTGCAGTGTATTAATTGGAACTGACTGTATTAATTGTTGGCTATCTCTACCTTGCAGATATGGCAATGCAAATGTCTGGAAGATTTTTACTGATCTATTTGACTACTTTCCACTCACTGCGCTGGTAATTAACATTCCATGTTGGCAATTATTGGTGTACTTTTTCCTAAATTGATCAGGACTTTTCTTCTTGTGGACATTGCAGAGTGGTTAGTGTTTGAATTTTTTCTTGAAGTCACAGAAATTGTTTCATTTGATTACATGTCACAGCATCTTGACATTAGATATGCATTTGTTGGGAAGTAGCGCTCTGAAGGTTGATAAATTACTTCTGACATGTTATAATATGTTAAAAGATGTTAAATAAGTCTTGTAATTTCAGATGGTTGGGATTTTGACTTGGTTGCAGGTGCGGCCGTAAATGATAAAGATGTTCTTTGCAACCACTTTATTTGGATGTCAAAAACATAATCCCTTAATGCTCATTTTCCCTGGTCATCCCTGACATGACCATCCTCCAATCAAGCCCTTGTTTTTCAAAGTAAATGAATTTTTGTTGGGATCATTGGCTTATTGCATTTTTTGAAGTTATTTGATCGAAAGTGAAATGGGGGAACAAAACTTGAATTTGTGTTCAATCATTAATCACTTCGGGGGATATGGTGAAGCACTGGGGAATTGTTGGTAAATTCTTTGGCCAGACAATGAATGATTAATGAATCCAAGAAGTCAATATGTAATTTAGATTTCTCAAGTTGTAAAACATGTGGCAGCAATTCTATTGCTTGTGCAATTCTTCAGATTTGCAGATGCCCCACCCCATTTGGTATTGTGGGTTATTACGTCATAGCCTTCATTTTATCTTGTTTTTGCTCTTAATTTCTTGGAAAGAGGTTTTCTTGTGACTCTGCAAGGATGTGGTTTGTTTGGGAGGAGAGAAGTGAGTAAAACTGATTAATTGCCTGTCCTCTTTTTCTACCTGCTTTGGTGGAAAAATTGCGCACTTTTATAGCAGTTGCCATCAAGACTGTCTCCTTAACCATATTAAGGATCAGTCTTTCGACTGAGCACGAAGAACCTTTATCACCACATACTAGTTTCATTGGTGCTACTAGTTTGGTGGTATCCTGTCAGGAGCACTGCTTTTATGTGTGCTGAAGTGCAAACTGGAGTGCCATGGTCTTATGTGAGAAAGTTGAATGGATGATTCTTGTAGTCTTAGTGATAGTTTTCTCAACTTAGATGGGCTCTCTAGATTATACTGTTTCTCTTGCCTTGTGTCTTGCTGTTGACGATGTGGTCATATCTTGTACGTGTTTAATGTCTTGTCTTGAAATATTCTAGGTTGAGTCAGAAATTTTCTGTCTGCATGGAGGGTTGTCTCCGTCAGTTGAAACTCTAGACAACATACGAAATTTTGATCGTGTACAAGAAGTTCCTCACGAGGGACCCATGTGTGATCTTTTGTGGTCTGACCCTGATGACCGTTGTGGTTGGGGCATTTCACCCCGCGGTGCTGGATATACATTTGGCCAAGTATCTGCTCTTCCCTTCAGTTGTTTTCGTTGAATCATTGATATCACGCGAAGTAAACTTTCTTGTTTCTCGAATTTCAACAGGACATATCAGAGCAATTTAATCACACCAACAATTTAAAGCTTATTGCTAGGGCACATCAGTTGGTTATGGAAGGATTCAATTGGGCTCATGTAAATAATCTCTCAACACTGTGATGCCTTACCCCCCCCCCCTTTTCACCCTCCAACTTTTTCCAAAATGGGATATGACTGTTCACATTATAATGCTAATTATTACAGGATCAAAAAGTTGTTACCATATTTAGCGCACCAAATTATTGCTATCGCTGTGGAAACATGGCATCCATCCTGGAAGTGGATGACTGCAAAGGCCACACATTTATTCAGGTAATCTGTCTAATTTGTTTCGCCTACACATTCCCCTTTCATGTGTTTAATGGTGAGTAGAAGGAAAAGAGTCTTGCTTGCATTAGCTGTTTGGATGTATCTTTTGCTTCTCTTTGCCTTTTGATCCCCGAGTTAAACATATTTGTGGCTGCAGTTTGAGCCTGCTCCTCGGAGAGGAGAGCCAGATGTAACTAGGAGAACACCAGATTACTTTTTATGATGAAGCTGCATATGCTATGGTTCAGTGACTGTGTTACAGAAGGTCTGTGCTTGCTGCTTTGTGCATCAAGAGCTGTTTCTGAGATTTGTTATCATATGTTTCAAACGAGGTGGGTTGGCAGAAAGAATTTACAGAAGGGCAGATGATGCTACTCTCTTGCAGTTGCTATCCTGAAACTGTACGCAGATACAGCAAAACGAGGTGTAGGATCTGGGACACTTACTGCTGCTTATGTACCATTTCATGGAATTGATGCGGCATCAATTTTTTCGTATATCAATCTTTCATCCTCCCTTTTTACACGTCCTTTAGTTATCTAAGCGAGTCCATTCTGTTCTTACATTTTCCTTCACTTTTGTAGGACAATTTCTAGTTCGTTCTTATTGTATTCCCTTGTAGAAGGGCATACTCTCACTTGGGATGGGGTTTTTGTGGAGGAAAGATGGTCTGTTATTAGGCTTCTTTCGGATGTTTTCAGTGGATGTTCTGCTATTGTTTCTGGCCCCTAAGTGGGATGGGTTTGCCTCATTATGGATTCATTAAACGTCCATTATAGCCATCTTAACACAGTTAACATCGGTATTTCTGTTCAGTCTGACGTTTGTCTGATTTGCTTGATGGTATTAGTGGCCAACCAAAAACAATTGCAGGTTGATGGATCAAGTTAAATGACTTGTGCTAATGACTATCTATAGGGCATCTTATGTTTTTGATTATTGGAAATCTAGTTTTGCGAGTGATGTTTCTTTATCTGGAATTCTGGATTTCTCTACTAGTTGTTGGTAGTTTTTCCTCTGCAGACAGTCACAAGCTGATTTGCTCAAACTCCAGGCTCCAGTAGATGTTTCGTTGTGGATTGGATGTCTGGTTACTTTTTATTCTTTCTTTTGGTTGATTAGGATGATCCTCCAAAAAAAAGGTCCTATTTTTTATTACCAAAGCCCAAAGACTTTTTCGGCAAATTTACTAACCCTTAATCCCAGCAAAAAAAAGGTCCTATTTGGACTCAGCAAAATGTTGGTTGATTTTTCTATGATGATGTTTTTTTTTTTTTTTTGGGTTATTTTTCAAGGAAAATTTCCTAGCTGCAGTTTGCTTAATCAATACCTTTAAATCCTGTTAATTATTTTATACATGTCAAGATGATGACTTGGGTAGTTCCATTTATTAGCAAACATAAATCACTTTTAAGCTAATATCGAATGTGGAAATTCAATGCTTACATTAGTTAAAAAGAAGGGATAATTGCAGAAACCTCCCCTGAGGTTTCTGACATTTGCAATGACCTCCCTTGTGGTTTGAAAAATTACACTAACCTCCCATGAGGTTACTAATCCTTTGCAAATTCAGTCCAAATGATTAAAATATTGTTTTAGGGAGTGAAATTAGAATTTTTTTTATCAAATTTGTCCTTTGTATTACATATCCAATGAATAACAAAATACTATAAATCAATTAATAATTAATAAAATTTAAGGAGTATAGTTTATAGGCAAATATGCATTGCCTATTTAAAGTATCGGTTCTTTATGGGTATTTTACTTTCAAACATTTAATTTAATACAAATATTTACGCTTAAATACATATTTGTATTTACTTTCAAATATTTAATTTTTGTTAAATACAAAAACTACCAATCTCTCTTCCGTAAAAATATTAATATAACACTTTTTAATTTTAGTTACAAACATTTATGTATTTAACATAAATTAAATGATTCAAAATAAAATACCCATAAAAAGTCAATACTTTACTCATGTAATGGATGAAAGCCATAAAGAATTAATACTTTATGGGTCATTTTAAAAAAAAATATTTAATTTATATTAAATAAATAACCTACCGATTTCTTTTTTACAAGAATATTACTGTAACACTTTTTGAATTTTACTAACAAATATTGATATATTTATCATAAATTAAATGTTTGAAAGTAAAATATCCGAAAAAAGCCGGTACTTTAAATGAGTAATACGTGTTTGCCTATAGAGAGTCGGTAACTATTTAAAGTACCGGTTCTTTAAGGGTATTTTACTTTCAAACATTTAATTTAATACAAATATTTACGCTCAAATTCAGATTTGTATTTACTTTCAAATATTTAATTTTTGTTAAATACAAAACCTACCAATCTCTCTTCCGTAAAAATATTAATATAACACTTTTTCAATTTTAGTTACAAACATTTATGTATTTAACATAAATTAAATGATTCAGAATAAAATGCACATAAAGAGCGAATACTTTACTCGTGTAATGGATGAAAGTTATAAAAAATTAATACTTTATGGAGCATTTATTTTTTTAAAAAAATTATTTAATTTATATTAAATAAATAACCTATTGATTTCCTTTTTGCAAGAATATTACTATAACAATTTTTGAATTTTAGTTACAAATATTGATATATTTATCATAAATTAAATATTTGAAAGCAAAATACTCGTAAAGAACTGGTACTTTAAATGAGTAATGCGTGTTTGCCCATAAATTGTACTCCTTAAAATTTATTAATTGTTAATTGATTTATAATACTTTGTCATTCATTGGATATGTAGAACAAAGGGCAAATCTGGTACAAAATTCTAATTTCACTCTCTAAAATAATATTTTAATCATTTGGACTAAATTTACAAAGGATTAGTAACCTCAGGGGAGGTTAGTGTAATTTTTCAAACCACAGGAGAGGTCAGTGCAAATGTCAGAAATCTCAGGAGAGGTTTCTGCAATTATCCCTAAAAAGAATGATAAACGTCAGGAGGGTAAGAAAAAGGGGAAGAAAAAAGAAATGGAAAAGATGAGTACGCAGAAAAATTGTGAATTTTTATTTTAACGAGTTTACAATTTAAACTAATACTAGTACTTCAGAACTAATATAAAAAGGTATTTACTGTGACAAACCTTTAATTTTGGACTCTAAATATGAAATCTACAAAACTTAAACTCCCTCCATCCCAAAAGCTTTTGTCATATTTTGGAATTTGAACTTCTTGTGCGTAGTACCAATTCAGTGCAAGTTTTAGCCTTTTTTTTTTTTTATGTTGCAAAACAACTTTTGTCCATAACAAATGAAATTCAAGAGGTCCACTAATAAATGTAAAATATGAGGGAATCCTAAAGGGTAAAAAATTGAACAAGAGGGATTTAATTATCCATTTGGGTATGTGACAAATATTTGGGGATAATTCAAAAGGAAAAATATGACAATTTCAAATTTCGATGAGACCAATCGAATATATGACTTCTAAGGGGCTGTTTTAGCAATTTGCACAATAAAGGGTATAGTGGTCCATCTAGCGTAACCCTAAAGAGGATATATGCGTTTAAATATCGATTCCGAGTGATTCCAAACGCAAGGAGAGTAGAAGCGGCGCAGTCATGGTTTTAGACATGTACCCATTCGGTGCTGTTGGAGGTGAAACATTATTTCTGCAGAAATTTAGATTTGGTGATGTTTTGTGCTATTCTTGTTGTGTTTCATGTGCTTGGCATCTCCGAACCAGAAATTAATTAGGTTTTGTGACCACGGTTTCTTTGTATAAGTTGATGGAATTAGTTATTATTGCCTCATGAGGTGAATTAATAGGTATATTTTAGAAAAAATATATGGATGAGATTAATTGTTACTGCCTCGTGAGATAGATTTATAGGATATATTGAAATATTTCGATTGATATATCGAATGACAAACGTCATTATTTGTGGTATGACTTTTGGTTGCACATGCCACCACAGCATCTCTCAGTTTCGACTTCTTATCTGCCTAACTAATGTTGAATTCATCCCTCTTGGGACCAATGTTAGCTACCTTGTCAGCCAATTTGCATATGACGAAAACAGTTCCTGTCTTTACAATATGTTTGCAATTCGTCCTTGTTTCTACCATTTGGATTGAGGTTGGGCTTGTGCAAAAGAAATTGTGGCTTGTGCAAACGAATGTGGATGGCTTGTGCAAAAGAAATTGGAATGTGGATTGCCAAAGAAATTGTGGCTTGAGCGAAAGAATGTGGATGGCTTGTGCAAAAGAAATTGGATATAAGTATGTTACGTTTTCATTGTTAGCTCTAGGAATTGAGTATAACAGCCATTGTATTAGGCTTACTTTCGGAAAGATTATTCTTGTCACGCCGAAGGCATATGATGTATCAATATGTTTTTCGTGTGAATGGGAAGCAAACCAATGCTTTATTGAAATTTTTTACATTTTCTTACTTTTTGTACTTTGAAGAATAACAACTCGTGTATGAAATTCATTGTGAATGTAAATTGATTTTCTTCCCCTGCTTAATATGCTATTTTTCCTGCAATTGTTTGTTGAAAAGATCAGCAAAGTTGCCATTTAATTTGTCGAGATGTTCTTTCTCGAAGACAGTTATAATTGGCAGAAATAATTCTATTGGAAAGCCGTAAAGTTGACACTTACCTCGTTTGGATTGTAAGTTTTTATTTTTTTGAAGCTTTTGTAAAAAAATTATACTTTAGCAATATTGACAAATATTGAGAAAATTTTTTTTACAAGAACTCGCAATTCAAACAAGGCCACGAACAACCTATGTAACGCTTACATCTTGTAGCATTTTGTTATATCCTTAATTGTACTCTGCAGATGTTCATATATGATCATTTTCTTCATACATTAGGAGATTCCAACCCTGTATTGTGTGCAAGAATTCACAGTGAATAGATCAGAACCTTCAAATTCAACGCAATACAAAGCCAATGGAATTGGAAACCTACCCATTGTAGAGGACAAAACTCCCTTAGGAACTCTTAGCTACGTTAGAAGCTACTTGCAAATATTGTGCAAATCGAAACAACAATCTAGGGACAACATGGTCGCAATATGTGGTGAGCTTTTCTTTTCTTTTTTCTTTTTGCCCCTTTTACAACATATCCAATTTGCTCTACAATTGAAAAAAGAAATTATACCATGTCAAAAGGAGGATACCCATGAGGCCATGACCTTGTTTTACCCATTCAAGTATATAGAAAGAAAAAAAACTGGAAAAGTTATGAAGAATTAAAGAAACTTGATCTTGCCAATGCCCAGCCTATACCCAACCTACAGAATATGCATCTTAGATGGGTCTCACTGCTATTAATTTGCTTGTTTTCTGGAAATAAAAAAAAAAAAAGAAACTTCCCTGAAATCCAACTATAGAAGAATTACCATGTTGTTAATAAATATTTAAACAACAATAACATTAGTAAGATCAACATAAAGTAACCTTAACTCTATTGGATTAATACATGAATAATGCATACACATTTTATAACCCGAAAATTAAGGATTGTTCTAATTAAGATTTTCATAATCATATCTTAAATTTTCATAATCATATAACATGTACAGTCCTCCGTTTACAAACAAAAATAAATCACTTTGTAAAGGAGAAAAAAAAAAGATTTTTCTATCTCTATAAGTGTTTTTAATAGTGACTGTGGAAGCTAAAAAATTAAAAGTTATATACAATAAACTAAAGGAAAAAAAGGCAGAAAAAAAAAACAAAGCAAAGTAAAAGATGAGTATCTTTAACAGTTGTGAGTTTTCTTTTAATAGAATTTACAAATTATACTAACACTAGTATCTAAAATGTCATATACAAAAAATATAGAAGGGTAAAATGAAATTAGTGTGAGTATTAGAAGATTTTAACTGTCAATTTTTGTCTAAGGTCTAATGGAATCTTTTAAGTATAATGTTCTTGGTATAAAGTGTCCCTTGATTGCATGTT